AATGATACTCGTCTATAGTGTATTACACGAAGGGGTATAAATACCAGAAACAAATAGCATACCAATTACTCCTATAGTGATTTAATTTTGTTTAGGTTTGGTTCTATAAGCTCTTTGAATAGTTAAATGGTAAGTTTTGATTCATTGCCCATCACAATTACTCCCGAACACATGTTGGTCATATTTTGAATGAATGTAGTTGATCAGGCTACATTCACCCCCAATACGACTACATAACTGCCCGAGTTTAATAGCGACGTTCAAATCCTCCAAAGACTTTTACTGTTATTGTTGTATTTTTATTCTAAAATGCACACAAAGGTATGTATTTTAATTATTATGTTCAGAGTTGTTTAGTCCCATTGTCTTTATAGTTGCATATCCTGTATGATTAGATATGCTAGTTCACTATAAACAATGCTCTGATACCAATCTGTCACACCCCCAAACCAGACGGCGGAAACGTCCGGGGGCTTGTGCGTGACTTCATCTTGAAATACCATTACAATTAATATAATTGAAACATAACATCATCATCATCACACATGTAATTTTACAACATTCATTGTTTACATCGAGTATTGTATTTGAATATTACATGCCAAAATAGTAAGAGTAAGATGAAACAAAATATCACACAATATCCGTTAGTTTTTTTCGTTCATCCTGCTTCAACGGTTTCCTGAAAATACAAGTTATTTTGAAAAACGGTCAACATAAAAATGTTGGTGAGTTCATAAGAATGTTTGTGAAAATGATTTGTATAACTTTGAAAACCACCGTAAAATTCGATATTTTCTGAAAAGAGTTTAGTGTGTTTGTGTTAGATCTTGTATTAATGCATGTGTGCTATTGTTTATTTGACTAAAAAGGTAAAGAGAATGTAGAGAGAATGTAAGAGCATGTAAAGAGAATGTTCTCAGACAACCCGACGCTGCCTAAAAAAAAAGAAGATGTCTTCCGTAAACTTCATAACGTTAATTCCTATAAGCGAGCCATCATAACCATACTAAATAATGACAATTTCATCTGTCTTGGCGTCGTTGGACGCCGACGGAAAATAGAATAAGGTTTTTGTCACCCTAGACTGAGTAAGTCTAACTGTAGCGAACAACTGAGGTGTGGCGTGTCAACCCCATATAGATCTATACACAAATCCCCGTTCTCCCTACAGGAGGCTCTAGTTATAACTACAAGCTACAATCGTACACTTAATAGGTGCCAACAGATAAAAACTCGCTAGATCCTTATTCGAATTTACGCGAAGAAAAATGTATAAACTCATTCTAGGACCAATGATCCATGTAAGTGAACCACTAAGGCGTCGCTAAACATGTAAATCATTTCAAGACCCAAATGGAATGAGATTATATAACATGGGCCCGAAATATATATGAAAGGACAACTAAGGCCCATTTCATATATAAAGTATTTACAGGCCCAAATAGCACACAAATACTATCCAAGGTCCGTCGCACATGTTAATGGGTCAATGAGACCCAATAAACATGTAAATAGTATACAAGACCTATCACACATAGAAATGGCTCACTAAGGCCCAATAACCTAGAAAATGATCAAATTAAATCCATTTGTTGGTTTATCATTGGTTTTAGTTCAAGTATTCACTCACATAGCATAAAAAGAAGAACACATATAAAACCAATTCTCAGGCCCAATAAACATGTAAGTGGACCCTTAAGGCTCACTATACGTGTCTATTATTTCCAGGCACGAAAGGAATGTGAATGTCTATCCTAGACCCAATATACATGTAAAAGGACACTAAGGCCCGCTAAACATGTACATTATTTCCAGGCCTAATAAGGATATGAATATCGTTTTTAACCCGTTTGTTATTGTTTCGTTTATTTTAGCTTGATTATTTACTAAGTTGATATAAAAAGCCCACCTTTTTGTAAAAACGACGTTCGTGGCTCAATCAGCCAAAAATTTACAATTAAGGCCCAATTTTTGTAAGAATAACACTTTAATCTCCAATTTTGTTAAAAACTTGTGTTGATGACTACTTTGTGATAAAAATAACAATTTAAACCCATTTTTGTCAAAAATATCATTTTTGGCTTGGTTTTTGTGAAAATACACATTTTTCTGGTTTTTGGTTTTTCCGACCTAGTTTTTAGAAAATTTGTAGAAAATTCATCGTAAGTTGAAATTTGGATCCGTAAATTCTGGAAGTTTGGAAATTTTGTCTACTTTGTTCAAAATTATTCTCATAATTTTTTATGGTCTCAAACTAGTGTGAAATTACTCATCTTCACAGGTTGGTCCGAAATTATTTCAAATATGATAGGCAGTTTTGTAAAATTCGCCAAAAATTGTAGAAAAATCGTATGAAAATGTGCGAGTAGTCATTTTAAAGTTATAAATCTGAAATTTAACCATGTAAAACCGTTTTGAAAAATACTTCCCTTTGGATGGTCAAAACAGTTCGAGATTGGACCAAAACGTTTCTTTCAAGTGCTGTTTTGTGAGTTTAGTTTATAAATCTTTGAACACAACACTCATTTTTGCTATACAAAGTATACAAATCCCAGATCTACATGTTTACGTGTAACACTTGAGATAATATATACTTTTCTCATGTTTCATATGAAGATCCTAGTGATACACTTCAAGTTTCTTAACATATTTGTAGATTAGTGAAGAAATCACATATAATCACCAAATGTTTCAAGGAAATCACACATAATCATGCATATACACATAGATCTACACAAATCAACTTGTATTCTCCCCCAAAAACAAGTAAAAACCAAAAACAAGGGGGTATGAACTCACCTAGTTTGAAGATTTCGAATTTTGATGAAGAAATGAAGAGATTTTTGGGTCTTAGCACACCTTTGTTGTGGATCTCGAGTTTATGAAGCTTCTAGAGATGATTTTCGAGCTCTAAGGTGCTCTAAGAGTGTGATTCACGAACACATAGGTGTGAGAGGAGTGAAAGAGTTTAAAGATGAAGTATAACACTTGGATTTGCAAGATGTTACCACAAATGAAGCTTGAAGTGATCCCCTTTGAATATCTTCTTTATACTCATGGTTTTCTTGAGGAGAGTGGATGGAGGAGTGTTAGATGATCTAGAGAAGTATGGTTGAGTTTGAAGAGAGAGGGAGGTTGGAGAAATGAGGGTGTGGCCGAGAATTAGAGTGAGATAGTGAGAGACATGGAGTTTGAATTATGGTGGTGTGATAGGTGCATGGATACATGCACTCTTGCATGGATATCCATCATATAAAAGTTAAGTGTCATTTGTTGGATATTTCTTCATTTCTTTTTTTTGTCTAATATGCATAATTATCTCTATTGGGCCGAGATTTGGGCCAAGGGAATAAGAATGAAATGGTTTGGGTTCAACCTTGGCCTTGTTTGAATTTTTAACAAGTCTAACCATATTTTTGGCCCATTGGGCCTTTATGAAAGTCCACGGTCCAAGATGGCATAAAAGAATGCATTTATGGCTTATTAGGGTTAATTGTATTAGTTATGGCCCAATAAGGCCCATTAGAAATAAGATGGATCATTTTAGGCCCGAATGGCCCAAAATGTTATAGATTGATGAATTGATAACTTATTGGTCCCTTAGGCCCAATAAGAGAATCCTAGTCCATAATGAACTTGAGTCGGGATTTCTAGGGTTTCCAACCCTTAGTTGAACATATTAGAGGTATTTGAACTAGAATAGAGTATAGGCTTTTACAATGGATGATACTTACATGGAATAGAATTTCCTAGCAAACTGCCAGTTGTGACATGCACCTTGCCAAGTCGTTAGTGGAGCGTGTGTGGTTAACCGACACACTAACAAGGACTAGTAAGAGTGGCAAAGGGTGACTTAAGTTTTATCATAGATCGATGGAGCGCGTTTGGTTAACCGGCACATCGATTAGGTGTTAAAATTAAGGGTATCAAGTCAATTTGCATGGTTATTCACACCTTGTTTTTGATCCTTGGCATTCCAATCAAAAACTTGAGAGGGCACAATCGAGATTCAAACATGCCATTGAATGTTCAATGTATCTCAAAAGATCTAGTAATTTCAAATCCAATCTCTACAAGAAAAATAGCCTTTTACGATGCGCAAACAACGACACTCACTGATTAATGTTACGCAAAAGAGAGTGACAATAAAAAAGTGTCGTCTCTTCAAAAAATTTAAGGATTTACGTCACGCATTCTTGCATGCCCTTAAATTAGTGTCTAAACAAAAAAAACACGGAGGGCACCTACAATAAAATGTGTGTCTACTAAAGATGTCGCTTTATAAATTTTAATGGAACGCGCGCGTTCTTTCCGGTGAAAAATGAAATCCTAAAAAATTAAAAACCCCGCATCTTTTTCTTCTTTCCCTCTTCCCCACATTATCGACGCTCCTTCCTTTCCCTCTTGTCTCTATCGGTCACTACCTAGGGTTTTTATTGAAAGCTTGACTCGATCGACTGAGGTAACCAAAGGTCAAGCGAACCGGGAAAGGGTTTTTAGTGAAATCTACTGTTACTCTTTGAAATTGGATCCAATCCTACCTTCGCCCCATCCTTTTTGTCTCTATCAGTTGCTACCTAGGGTTTTTCGTGAAAGCTTGAATCCATCGACTAGGGTAACTACAGGGTAAGAAAACCGGGAAATGGAAGCAATAAATCCTACAGTCACTCTCAAATCGATTCTACTGGACAAGGTTTCAATTTGGGGCTCTCTACATTCTTATCGATTCTAGTTTTATTCAAGCTTACATTGGTTTTTTTGGTATACAGTAACCGAAGGTTACATTCTCATCGATTCCACTTTCTCTCTCTGAACAAAATATCTCACATTTTCAAAAAGCCCTAAACCAGCCACCGCCGGCTATGACCTCTAGCATCATTCACGTCTTCCTACTTCCTAGATGGTGTGTGTGTGCGCGGCAAGACTAAACAGAAAATGGGAAGGAAAAGAAAAAATGAGGCGAAAGATAGAGAAGAGAGTTTAAGGCCGAGGGGAGGATGCATCAGAGCTGTGGTACTATTCTTAATGTCTTTTCAAAATACAGTAACCTTATTATGGACTTGAAGAAAAAGATGATCGTTTTCTCTGTTTTGCAGTTCTAGATGGTATGGGTTCACCCTGATATGGTTTAGAGAAGTGTATGTCATCTCTGAAGATCACAATCATCCATACCTTATTTTTAATTTCGCTCTCTTTCTCTTTCTCTAAACATTTCCTCTCTTCTTTCTTTCTAAAACCCTAGCCTATCATAATTGCAGAGGAATTTTCGTGTTGCTTTCCACCATCTGTGCTGGACAAGACCAGTTTTCACTAGACCAAGCTTTGAATTGGAAAAAAAGAGTTGTGGTCAAACTTGGTTGTTGGTTCCATTGAAAATATTAAGTCGGAGGTTGTCCTAAAAGTTGAAGGTATTGTTGTTAAACTTATGAAAGGGGGGCCTAAAAGTTGAAGGTATTGGAGTTTTCATAGATATTCATGAATCAAATTCTTCATTTGTTTCTTTTTCTCCCTTTTGAAACTTTAGTTCCCAAAATTGCAAGATTAGTGGTAAGATTTTGCAATTGGAGAGTGTTACACAGTCAGAAGCCATGAGGAGGCGGTATTGCTACTTGAGCCATTTTTCTTTACCAACCACATTTCAGGTATGCTTCAAAGCTTGCTTAAATAAACAAAGGAAGCTATGGACCATATTCTTCAGCAGCCCCTGCTGGTTATAACCCTGGTTCAACTGCCAATTCCACCTCTAATGAAGACCTTAGTAGGCCCCACTCCCAGTTTAAGGAAACTAATGTTTACATCACTGGCCAACAGGTTAGTTTCATTTTTTCTACTTCACATTTTTAATTTTTAATTTTGTTTTGAGTGCTTGAATCACCCATTATACGGATATATTTTCACAGATAGAATGAAGATGTTAGCCATACTTGTATCAAACTATTATGCACATTTTCTATTTTTTTTAAATATTAAGTATCTCTAGGTTATATGAGAAGGAACGGGACATCCTTATTAAGAAACACATGGTTTTCTATTCTACTTCTAAGAGTCATTGTCTATAGAAGCTTAGTTATACATAAATGAGTAATTTGTAAATGGGTTTACTCAATTATAACACTTGTTGTTATCTAATTGCAGGTTTCTATTGTAATAGTAAGCGAATATTTTATCACAAGTTGGACATATTGACAACTTCTTCTTTTTTGTACATAATAAAGCAACCAACTTGTTTTAACTGTTTAAATTACACCAATATTACCGATTAATACCTGTTTTAACCGGTAACTCAAAGGGAAAATGACTTAGGAGGATAACTACCTCTTATCCGTGTTCACATGTTGGCAACTTCTTATTTTTTGTACATAAGAAAGCAACTAACTTGTTTTAACTGTGTAACATCCCAAAAATCATGACCAAAAATTTCTTTTTTAATTTAATACTAAAACCATAATTGTCGTCAAACCATTAATTTAATACTCCGACATCGAGCCCCGCTCGGCATCAGGCCCTGCCTGGCATCGAGCCTCGCTCGGTATACAGGTTTATTTCTCATAGGCCTCGTCTATCTCCGAGCCCCGCCCGCTAAACACATACAATCATATAACATGCTAACACATAAAGAAACATACTCTACTATATCTTTGTCCTAAGAAACATACTCTGCTAATAATGAGATACGAAACATCATCCGTACTCAGCTAGTGATGAGATATGGGACCTCGCCCACACTCACCTCCTTACCAGGCACATACAAGTATCACACAGACAACAAGTATAATTTAACATGCAAACATTCCTCAGGCACCCGCTCGACATCGAACCTTGGTCTGGAATAACATACTAGCATACAATGCCTAGGGCTAACCCCCGGGTCTTCCTACTCATAGACTACATGGGCTGACATTGTGACCTTAGACCCATTCACACAGTGAGGAGACTCACCTTGCACTGCTGAAGCCCTGGCTGGAACTAGTTGAGTATGGATGAAGTTCTGTATCTCATTATTAGCAGAGTATGTTTCTTAGGATAGGGATACGGAAGAGTATGTTTCTTTATGTGTTAGCATGTTATATGATTGCATGTGTTTAGTGGGCAGGGCCTAAGAGAGACAGATTTGTATACCGAGTGGGCATCGATGCCAGACGGGGCCGGATACCGGGCAAGGCCCGATTCCGGGGTATTAAATTAATGGTTTGACAATTATGGTTTTCGTATTAAATTAAAAAAAAAATTGTTCATGATTTTTGGGATGTTACACAGTTAAAACAAGTTACTTGCTTTCTTATGTACAAAAAATAAGAAGTTGCCAATATGTGAACATGAATAAGAGATAGTTACCCTCCTAAGTCATTTTCCCTTTGAGTTACCGGTTAAAACATGTATTAACCGATAATATTGGTGTAATTTAAACAGTTAAAACAAGTTAGTTGTTTTATTATGTACAAAAAAGAAGAAGTTGCCAATATGTGAACACGGATAAGAGGTAGTTACCCTCCTAAGTCATTTTCCCTAAAAACTTTTAGGTACCACTACTACTACTACAATTCATTATTAAAACCTCGCTCATTTAATCTGTTTTATTTCATATTTTTTATTTGATTTTGATTGCAGAAGAACTCGGAGTTTTGTAATCAATTTTATCGGTCTTATTTTTTGCTGATTGTGCAAGAAATATTTGATGTGATGACCGACAGTTTCCATAAACTGGGATTTAAGCTGCATGTGTTGTTGTTGCAGCACTTATTCTGCCTGGTATGTATATCATCTCTAGTCTACTTTCTATTTGAATCATAGGCAAGTATATAGGAGTATAATATATGTTGACGTGCCAAATAATTGTAGGTGGAATCTAGGTCATTGACTGAGCCTTTGTGGGACACGTCAACTGTTTCGTATCCGTATCCAAACAACGGGATGTCTGTGAGAGAGTACACTATTAAGCTTCTTGGTGCCTCTTTTCCAAATATTCCAGCATCTGAGGTATAAAAACTACAACTGCAAGTGATGTTTGTTTATTTATGTTATATTTAGACATCTGATGGATGGATGTAATGTAATTCTTTCAGGTTGCGAAATTTGTGAATGGACTGTGTGGGAACGTGAACCTAATTACTTGACTAGTCAATTATTTCTCAATCTTACTCTGCATCATTCGCTTCGTATGAAAACCCTGAAATGCCTTCAAAGAAACTTATGTCTTCATTAATGCACAAGCCTTCAATATTAACCGATGATGTAGATGCTGCATCAAAGCAAGATGTATCAGGTCAGCAAGTTTATATTAGTCTTTTTTTCTACATACAATCATACTTGCCTGCCCTTACACCAAGGACCTACTTTAAAAATAGAGCAAAACAAGAACTAGAAAGGAAAGAAAAAACCGGAACAGAGGACAATTACTTGGTGCCAAAGTCTCTTCCTTAATAAGCAAAACAAAGAAGATTCTGAATACAAATAAAGATGCAACACAGACCTATATTTATACTAGACACATAATGAGTTTGACTCTAACACAAAAACTAGGAAGAAACTTAATTTCCTATTTTCCCCTAGAACTAAAAAGTTGTTATTTTTTTATTCATGAGTTGGCATCATGGATATTATATATAATCAGGGCTGGTCTGTTGATTTAGACAGGTCAAATGTTTTTTTTTTATTATTTTTTTTTTTTATTTTCTTAATTGATGATTTTGAATTGTTTTTTTTTGTTCATGAATTTGGTAGGTTAGATAGCCTAGTTGGGTTGTTTGGAGCAGGATGTCAACCAAGTTCAACTAATGACCCTTTTGGTCTACGAAGAATCTCATATGGTCTTGTTAGTCAACTAACAATTTAAATTAGTCAACTCTTATATGCTGTCTTTTGATTGATTATAATTTATAGTTGTTGATGGGTGTTTTTTTAGGTCCAAGTGTTGGTAGAAAAAGATAGAAACTTGGACTTACAACATGCTTTGGAAGTTGATGCTTCTGTGCAATCTTTGAAAATAGATGTTGTAACAATATGCGAGGTAGACTTATTCTTGTTTCTTGTCATTTGTATTGCATTTGATGATAAGGATTAGGAGGGCATTTATGTCTTTTTTTATAAATATTTTTACAAAAAAAGATTTATAAATCTTTTTTATTGAATCTTGTTTCTTGTCATTTGCTGCCAAGGTATATATTATTCTTATATAAAATGAAATTGTAAATTTTTATATCTTTTTTATAAATCTTTTTATATTTTATAAAAAAATTAGGCTGTGGGAAAGGTGTTGCCAGAGCTAAATGGAAAGCTTACTGGAATGGATTTTAGGGTTCATGGTTTGATGGGTTTAACCAACCAAAGAGTCTTACGTTAAGTTCCACAATTGCCCCTGATAGAGGCACGATGCTCTCAACTAGTCGGTCATCAAATTTTCTGAATATATCAACTGGTATGATGATGATGTAATACCTTTTCTTATTTTGCTCGCTAAAAGACACAAATATGATGAAATGTGGGCACACAATGCACTCAGAATGCTGTCATGAGATGATTAAGCGTAATAAGTAAGTCAATCTAAACTTGTCTGGGATTAGTTCATTTCCAAATCTTGTGAAATTTTAGCTAAATTTCAATGGATTTTATTACAAATACTCTTGTCCCATATGCTCAAAATTAGTAATGCATATGTCTATGATGTGGAGAGACTAGATGAAGAGGTGCAACTATTGAATCTATGACTGTGAATTTAATTTTAAACAACAAATTCTTGATCATCTTTCATTTCTATAAGTTGGTTTGTTTTGTAATTCTCAGATTGAAGCTACTGTGATTGAATTTTGAATCTTGAAGAGATTATATTATGAGTTTCTTGAATTTTGAATCTTGAAGAGATTGAAACAGTAGAAGTGAACGAATAAATGTTAAAATTGCAGGTTTGGATCTTATGTAGTGAGTGCAATGACACTTCAGAGTTTCTTGAGTTTTGAATCTTGAAGAGAATGAAACTGTTAAGTTTTAATGTAATTCTTTCTCCACTTTACTTGTTTTGTGTGTGGATTGATTGATTTGGGGAACAGAGAGGCTTCCAAATATGAAGAAAGCTCCTACTTGAGGATACTTTTGGACAACAGAGATGCATCAAGGTAACATAACATATCTATTTATTGTTGGAGTCTTTATATATTAAGTAGACAAATTGCTATAAAATGACAGAAAGTCAATGCCTCCAACGTGTGAAGTATACATATACTTCCAATTATTCTGATGGTTTGCAATGCCAAAAATTTCTATTTATGATTATCATCTTCTCTTTCTATTGCCATATGCTCACACAAATTTTTGTACCTGATTACACAATATTTTAATTATGCAGGTTTTGAAGTTTTTGATGGAAAAGAATAGTGTTAATGCTCTTCATAGAAAAGTATGTTGGTATTTTAGGAAATTTAGCTAATAATTTAGTTAATTATATAAAAAATGTTGAAATGTTACATTTGTCTACTATTGGAATGATTATTTGATGTATTACATTTGTCTACTATTGGAATTATTATTTGTATGACATTAACTTTTGTGCAATGCATTTTATTTTTTGTATATGGTATTTTATTTTCTATTATGAGACATGAAATGAAAATTTAATTTGAAAATCAGTAAATCTATAAATAGTTTTTTTTAAGAAAAAATTAAAATTACGATACGCAAAAATGTGTGTCGTCTTCATTTATGACATGGCTTTCCTTGACAGGGGCTTCCTTGATACGCATTGCGTGTCATAAACACACGCATCGTAAGGTTACGACACGTAAATGCGTGTCGTCTTCCTTTATGACAGGGCCTTCCTTGATATGCATTGCGTGTCAAAACCGCACATCGTAAATGCGCGTCATAAGTGCGTGTCGTAAATGTGCGTCGTCTCTCTTTATGATAGGGCCTTCCTTGACTAGCATTTGAGCGTCGTCTGAGCGTTTTACGACGCACAATGAGCATCGTAAAAGGCTGTTTTTCTAGTAGTGAATTAAAACTTAATAATTTATTTCGTTTATAATGGTGGAAATTAGTAAATCGTCATTTACCTACCTTCAAATATTTCATAGCTTGGATTATGGCATCCCTCTTCCAATTTATGAAATAATTTGTGGGGTCCTAGCCTTAATATTTCATTTGGGTGACTTATTAAGGACTCTTCATCTAATTAAACTTGTCCTTCTTTCTTTCAGATGTCTTCCAACACTACTACTAGCTCAAACCCTACAGGCTCCTTTTCCCTCATGAACTTGTGTGGGAAAGTCACTTTTGATGGGTCTAACTTCAATGAATGGATTAGAAACATCAGGATGATTACCCGCAATGAGAACAAGGAATATGTCCTTGATAAGGAGCTTAGGTTCATCAATGAGTCCACTGCTACTCCTGAGGAGGTTTCAGAGTACACTGCACATGAGAGGGATACTACCAAAGTGTCCTACATCATGTTGGCTACCATGACTCCCGAACTCCAGAAATCCTATGAAGATTTATGCCCCTATGAGATGCACAGCGCGCGTCAAGAGAGGTATGAAATCATCTCCTCCATGATAAAGGCCAGGATGAAGGATGGTGAACCCATCACCGGTCACTTGCAGAAAATGCAAAGGTTCGTGGACCGGTTGCTGAAGCTGAATGTGGACTTCCCTGAGGACTTGGCGATTGATATCATTCTCCATTCCTTACCTCCTAGTTATGATCATTTTCGTATGACTTATCATATGAAAAAGGAGGAAGTCACACTTAGCAAACTTCAAGGACTTTCAAGGACCGCTGAAAGTGGCCTTAAAGGTAAGTCAACTGTTATTTCTACTCCTACTCCTACAGCAGCCCCTGTTCTGGCAATTGGGCAGGGAAAGGGGAAAAAGAGGAATACCCTTTCGAAGGGTACCAAGGGAAAGTCCCTTGATGGCTCCTCTTCAAGTGTTACCAAGAAAGGTCCCATTCATCCTTCTTCAAACCCAAAGGAAGCACAATGCTTCTACTGCCATGAAAAGGGGCACTGGAAGCGAAGCTGCCCGAAGTACGTGCAATATGTGAAGGATGGGAAAGTTAAACCCACCCACGCAGGTATTTATACAATATTGTCTAATAACTCATCTAATGCTAATTCTTGGGTGCTTGATACAGTTTGTGGTATTCACATTGTACTGATTTCTAGGACCTAAGAAGAAGTAAGCAAGTGGAGTACGGGAAGATAAACTTAGTCATGGGCAACAAGAAAGCATCACCTGTCACCAAGATAGGAGTTTATTCTTTATTGCTTAATAATGGGTTAATCTTAGATTTGAATAAATGTTGTTACTCTCCTGAAATGGCAAGAAATATTATTTCCCTTCATTTCATATAAAATCGGTGCTATTAATGCTTTTTATAATGATGTATTTTATTTTAAAGCATTACCTTGTTATGGTGTATATGAAACTGTGTCGATTGTAGACAACTTAGGAAATAATGTATATCATATTGATTCCTCGATGAGCTTAGATAAAGCATCCTTGTGGCATTGTCATCTTGGACATGTCAACAAGAAGCGCATAGGCCAACTCCAAAAGACTGGAGTTTTGGAATCATTTAACCTAAAGTCGGATGATAGTTGTGAGTCTTGTTTACTTGGAAAAATGAAAAATTCACCCTTCACTGGTACTTGTGATAGGGGTGAGGGTTTTTTGGACCTCATACACACAGATGCTTGTGGACCCTTCAAATCTGGCACAAGGGATGCTAATCGGTACTATGTGACTTTCACTGATGATTACAACAGATATGCATATATCTACTTAATCAAGCATAAGTCAGAAACCTTTGAAAAATTTAAAGAGTTTAAACAGGAAGTCGAGAATCAATTGGGTAGGAGCATTAAGATTCTTCGATCCAATCGTGGCGGTGAGTATCTTAGTACTAAGTTCCTCGACTATCTCAAGGAATGTGGGATCATCTCACAATTGACACTTCCCAGGACACCACAGTTGAATGGTGTGGCTGAGAGGTGTAATCTAACCTTTTTGGATATCATTCGTTCCATGATGAGTCGAGCTTCATTACCAATCTCTTTCTAGGGGTATGCCTTAGAGACTGCCACTCGTATCCTTAATCTAGTCCCTACTAAAAAGGTTGCCAA